GACAATTTTGTGTCTTGGGGTTGCTGTTCTCGAGGAGTATCTTTGTGGTGTTCTCTGTATTTCCTGAAGTTGAATATTGGCCTGCCTTGCTAGGCTGGGGAAGTTCTCCTGTACAATATCCTGCAGAGTGTTTTCCAACTTGGTTCCATTCTCCCCATCACTTTCAAGTACACCAATCAAATGTAGATTTGGACTTTTCACATAGTGCCATATTTCTTGGAGGCTTTGTTCATTTCTTTTTATTCTTTTTTTCTCTAACCTTGTCTTCTCACTTTATTTCATTAATTTGATCTTCAATCACTGATACCCTTTCTTCCACTTAATCGAATTGGCTATTGAAGCTTGTGCACACATCACAAAGTTCTTGTGCCATGATTTTCAGCTCCATGAGGTCATTTAAGGTCTTCTCTACACTGTTTATTCTAGTTAGCCATTCATCTAATCTTTTTTCAAGGTTTTTTAGCTTCTTTGCAATGGGTTCAAACATCCTCCTTTAGCTCAGAGAAGTTTGTTATTACCAACCATCTGAAGCCTACTCATCAAAGTTATTCTCCATCCAGCTTTGTTCCATTGCTGGCGAGGAGCTGTGATCCTTTGGAGAAGAGATACTCTGATTTTTAGAATTTTCAGCTTTTCTACTCTGGTTTCTCCCCATTTCTGTGGTTTTATCTACCTTTGATCTTTGATGTTGGTGATCTACAGATGGGGTTTTGGTGTAGATTATCTTTTTGTTGATGTTGATGCTATTCCTTTCTGTTTGTTAGTTTTCCTTCTAACAGTCAGGTCCCTCAACTGCATGTCTGTTGGAGTTTGCTGGAGTTCCACTACAGACCCTGTTTGCTGGGTATCACCAGAGGAGGCTGCAGAACAACAAATATTGCAGAACAGCAAATATTGCTGCCTGATCATTCCTCTGGAAACTTCATCCCAGAGGGACAGCTGCCTATATGAGGTGTCTGTTGGCCCCTACTGGGAGGTGTCTCCCAGTTAGGCTACATGAGGGTCAGCGACCCACTTGAGGAGGCAATCTGTCCATTCTCAGAGCTCAAACACCATGCTGGGAGAACCGCTGCTCTCTTCCGAGCTGTCAGACAGGGATGTTTAAGTCTGTAGAAATTGTCTGCTGCCTTTTGTTCAGCTATGCCCTGCCCACAGAAGTAGAGTCTAGAAGCAATAGGCCTTGTTGAGCTGTGGTGGGCTCTGTCCAGTTCAAGCTTCCTGGCTTTGTTTACATACTCAAGTCTCAGCAATGGCAGACGCCCCTCCCCCAACCAGGCTGCTGCCTCACAGATTGATCTCAGACTGCTGCACTAGCAGTGAGCAAGCCTCTGTGGGCGTGGGACCTGCCAAGCCAGGCACAGGAGAGAATCACCTTGTCTGCAGGTTGCTAAGACCTTGGAAAAAGTGCAGTATTTAAGTGGGAGTGCCCCGTTTTTTCAGGTAGTCTGTCAGGGCTTCTCTCGCCTAGGAAAGGGAAATCCCCCAACCCCTTGTGCTTCTCAGGTGAGGTGACACCTCGCCCTCCTTCACCTCACCCTCTGTGGGCTTCACCCACTGTCCAACCAGTCCCGATGAGATGAACAAGGTACCTCAGTTAGAAATGCGGTAATCACCCATCTTCTGCATGGATCACACCGGGAGTTGCAGACTGGAGCTGTTCCTATTCAACCATCTGGAGCTGTTCCTATTCGGCCATCTTGGAACGCCCCCCATTTCCTCTCTAATATTTCTAAATTACTGCTCCAAATAAACTGACACCTAGTGTTACAAATAAGTCCTCACTATTTTAATAATTAGAAAATAAGCATAGAAAAAGAAACACTTATTTTATGTTCCTTGTCCCCACTATGATACCAGTCAATGGGTGATGTCTAAATCATCGTGTTTGTTTTTGCAAGAATACATCACTATCAGATTTATTGCAGGCAGAAATGAATAAAACAGAAAAAAATCCTAAACCTGGTTTACTGATACGTACCTCTGGACCAAAGGACAACAGCAAAGAGGTTGTAATTGAACCTACATAACCCATTCCCTTCATCAGAAAAGAGATATATCTATCCCATTCCTTCATGAGCAGCCAACCTCATTTCTGTTCTGTTCAAGTCAGCCCATGGCAACCTGAATGTCAATGTCAAGGACTATAACCCCTTGATGGCAGAAACTGTGGTGATGTAATCACTACAATAGTAATATCAAGGTGAATAACTTGGAAATCACTGGCCTGGTGTATCTCTCATGTCTCTCTTTCTCCTACAAAATCCATATGACCCTAGTTTGCCAGGGCCCTGAACCACATGATAAGCATGTGACATACAATACCTTGTTTAATCCTCACAGCACCCTAGAATTAAGTAGGGTCGTCCCTCAGTATCCACGTGGGATTGGTTCCAGGATTCCCACAGATATCAAAATCCACAGATGCTCAAGTCCCTGATATAAAATGGTGTAGTATTTGCATATAACCTACACACATCCTCAGACCTTACATCATCTCTAGATTACCATAATACTTAATCTAAGGTAAATGGTATGTAAATAGTTGTTATACTGTATTGTTTAGGGAATAATGACATGAAAAAAGTTTGTACATGTTTAGTACAGATACAATTTTTAAAAATATTTTCAATCCAATGTTAATTGAATCCATGAGTGCAGAACCCACAAAAATGGAGGGTCAACTGTACAGATAGCTCTATTTTATACATAAGGGCACAATGCTCAGAAAGTTTAAGTACTTTGTCCAAGGTCACATAGCTAATAAGTGTCAGGGCCAGGCCTGAAACCCAGGTGTGACTCCCCAGCTTATACCGTTTATGGTATATATCAAGTCTCTGTGGTCCTTTCCTGGAGTCCACCTGGCCCACTCTTTGCTTTACTGACTTCTCATTCTTGAAGTTTTAGCTCCAATGTCACCTCTCCTGACCACACCAGTCTAGTGTAACATCACTCTTGCTTCCTCTTACAGCACTCATCATAGTCTGCTATCACCAAGTTATTTGTTGATTTGCTGGCCTTCTTCCCTTGAACATAAGTTTCATGAGAGCAGGTCCTTAACTGCCTTGGTCATCATGGTGTTCATAGTGCCTGACGCACCTGGCCCTAGGAGACATCCAGTAAATATATCTGTTGAATATTCATCGAATGAATTGTATTGATTTTTTCTGGGACATGCTCATGCAGGTGTTGGCAAAAGCCTAGTTCTCCATCATTATCAGCAGAATGTTGAATAGACTTAGAGTAGAGATCCAAATATTTAAACGAAGAGTGCTCCAGAACCCCTGGGCCCTTGGCTGTCACTGATAGCACGGGACATCAAAGGTCCACCTTTCAGAGGCTCTGAGCTTCTCAGCTGTGACCTATATATGACTCAGCACGCAATTAGAACTTAACACTTGCCACTCGTTTGCAATGTTTGTGTGAGTCCTGAGTGCCCATGCTTTTAAACTGTGCTCCAAGAACTTCTAGAGTTTTCAGGAAATGTTTCAGGGTTTTCCTTGGTGAAAGAGAAATGACTATGGAGCCAAAATGGAAAGAACTCTAGGTCCTTCCTCCATCTTCCCTTCAACTAGGAATGTTCCACTTCTGTGTGACTTGTAGTGGGTTGAATAGTGGCCCCCAAAAATTCATGTCCACCCAGAAGCTCAGAATGTTATTCTTTTGGGAAATAGAGTCTTTGCAGATTTTATTATAAATTAGAGTGGGTCCTAAATCCTATGACTGATGTCCTTACACAAAGAGGAAATGATACAGAGGAGAACACCATGTGAAGACGGAGGCAGAGATTGGAGTGAGGCATTTACAGTCCAAGAAACACCAAGGATTTCTGGCAACCCTCAGAGGAGAGAGGCATGGAACCGATTCTCCCTCAGAGCCTCCAGAAGGAACCAACCCTGCCAACACCTTGATTTTGGACTTCTGATCTCCTAACAGCCTTCAGTTGTGTTAAGCTAATCAGTTTGTGGCAATTCGTTATGGCATCTCCAGGAAACTAGTACACTTATGTAATAGACTTTCTTTTTTTAACTTTTAAGTTCAAGGGTAAATGTGCAGGTTTGTTACATAGGTAAACTTGTGTCATGGGGGTTTGTTGTACAGATTATTTCAGCACCCAGGTATTAAGCTAGTACTCATTAGTTATTTTTTCTAATCCTCTCCCTCGTCTTACCCTCCTGATCTTTAGACATGCCCCAGTGTATGTTGTTCCCCTCTGTGTCCATGTGTTCTCATCATTTAGCTTCCACTTATAAGTGACAACATGAGGTAGTTGGTTTTCTGTTTCTGCTTTAATTTGCTAAGGATAATGGCCTCCAGCTCCACCCATGTCCCTGCAAAGGACATGATCTCATTCTTTTTTATGGCTATATAGTATTCCACAGTGTATATGTACCACATTTTCTTTATCCAGTCTATTATTGATGGGCATTTAGGTTGAGTCCATGTCCTTGTAACTGTGAATAGTGCTGCAATGACCAAATGCATGCAGATGTCTTTATAATAGAATGATTTATATTCCTTTAGTTATATACCCAGCAATAGGATTGCTAGATCGAATGGTATTTCTGCCTTTAGGTCTTTGAGGAATCATCACATTGTTTTCCACAATGGTTGAACTAACTTATACTCCCACCAACAGTGTATAAGTGTTCCTTTTTCTCCACAACCTTGTGATGCAACTTTTAGACATGTTCTATTTATTTTTAAAATGATTAAAAACTGCATTGGAGTATCTCCCCTCCTTTCCCCCATATGATCCATGCCCCATGTAGTCCATGTTTGTTCTGGGCTCTGTGCTGAGCACCACACCTTGGATGAGCTGACATCAAATTCAACAAAATTCCCTCTCCTATGGGGCTGCTCCTGCCATCACCATCAAGGTGTCCAGAACCTCCCTTCCACTTCCTCCCTGTGCTTCTCCACCAGAGCTTCCCAAATTGCACTCATGATAACAACCCTAGAAGTGCCTTTTCAGTCAGCTTTAGGTATTGGAGTATGAGTACCTCTCAGGCCAACTTTGGCCAGCAGCCGGAGGAGAGGCAGGAGGATGTCATAGTCTGGAGAAGCTGTCCTCGCTGTGTCTACCAGGGTCTGCAGAAGAGCCTCACTGCCACCCTTGCTGATCATGTAGTGAATTCTCCGGTCTGTGCCTGAGGGGAAGCCAGAGGAAAGATGAGCCACAAGTAATAATCCCCATTTTCCTTGGAGCAGAAGACAGACCTGACAGCTAGAGACAGAGTAAGAATTAGTTCATTTCAATACATAAAATTGTGTAGTTCTTGAAGCAACCTGTGTTAAAGTTGCACTATCAGTTAAGGAAAGAGGGTTGTGAAATGGGAAAATAGTGGAATATTTAAGAACCTAGTTGTGTTCGGCTGCAACAGCTGTAATAAATAGAGCTTACCTGAGAATCTGTTGAATATTTGGTATATGTATGTGTATGTGTGTACATGTATGTAAATATGCATATACACTTTTGTATAATCATATACTTAGAAGAGGGAATCTCAGTATCCCTCTGCTATACATTTGAATCTTCCGTAACAAGGATTGGGATGATGGCCTAGTCTGGAATCATTGTACTGATGGCATAATGATTTTCTGATGCTGGCCTTCAGAAACTGATGGGAGAAAATTACAGAAACCACTGGAATAATCCCTTGAGAAAGAAACATCCAATCATCCTATCTAGGGAATTTTGAAGAGAGTCTAGAGCTATGATGAACTATTGATCTTTCTACCTAAGTACAATTTTGAAAAGGGATCTCCTCCACCTTGCCCAAGGACAAACTCAAAAGCAACGATTTCATTTCAACTTGGCCTTGGTTGATTCTCTCTATGCACAGGGCAAAGTTGACCTAACAAAGGTGGCCAACAGGGTGGTGCATTATCAAAGAAGACCACCTGATTTTTTATCCTAATGAAAAGTAGCATTCTCTGCAAGAGGCACAGTAATCACCACCTTATCAGAGGGAGAACTTCAAGGTTTCATCTTAAGAGTTTCAGACACCTCTGGACAAATGTAAGACAGCACTATCCCAGAAAATGAGTGACTTCACTTACACAGGTCCCACACAAAAGACTAAACGTAAGTCATCCTGCCAGTGGAGCATAGCACAAACCATGGTAAGACCCCAATATGATGGGCCCCTTCTCCTTGAAACCATAATCCTGAGGATCTACGGGTCTGGAGTGTCATTTATTTCTGATATTGCTTGTTTGGTGTTAGTATTTCTTTCTAAAGTAATGTGGCCAGCATACATAAAAATGCAAATTGAGTGAGAGTTAGAATGTTCAAAAATCTCAGTAAGAACTTGAGCGAATAGAAGCATGCTCCAGTTAATCCCGTTGATTCCAATGTAGTCGACTCTGTTATCTTATCTCTGAAAACGTGATGCTTACATGCTTCCAAGTTCAGTTCCTGCCTGATATTCCTGCCTCTACTTGAAATAGCCAAGGTAGCTTCTGATACTCGGCTCTCTTAAATAGGTCACAATGGAAGTGAGCAGAGCAAGAAGAGGGGTAGAACCACGGAGGGTTACTACTAAATCTAATTTCACCCTCAATGTTAGGTGAGAAGACTGAGGAGTGCAAGTACAATCAGTCCAGGTTACTTGGGTCTTATTAACCTTACAGAAAAAAGATGGGCTAGTGATGCTGCCTTTCACAGGAAATTGAAGCAAGAGCAAACCCCCAGGTCACAGTGGTGCCTGGGAGAGATCACAGCCAGCAGGCTCCATGTCCACCATATGAAGGCATGAGGACATGGCCTACTCACCAACAGAAAGCAGATCTCCGAGGACCTTGAGGATGGTCAGGATAGACTTCTTGTCGGAGGAGCTCTGCAATGAGAACACAGGCAGCCATATTTAAGAATGCAAGAGGAAGGAGCTGGATGATCAGGGATGCACATGGAATGGTAGAGCTCTACTTCCTGCCATAGAGAAAGACTTACTGCAGCAAAAGGACAGACAAGGGGACTCACTTGGTAAGGGAACCAGGGGTTGTGCCTCCCTCCATATTTAGTCTTCAGAACCCCTCTTTGCGGACCTATCTTGTAGTAACACCAGCAAGACAAACAAAAGAATAAGCAATAATGATTTACACAGAAAACAAGGAAGTAAAAGGGACTTTGTGGGCCAGGGTAGCACAGGTCTGTTATTTCAGTAGACTTGGCTTATTTTTATTTGAGATGAAGTCTTGCTCTATTGCCCAGGCAGGGGTGCAGTGGTGTGATCTCCACTCACTGCAACCTCTGCCTCCGGGGTTCAAGCGGTTCTCCTGCCTCAACCTCCCAAGTAACTGGGGCTACAGGCGTGTGCCACCACACCTGGCTAGTTTTTTTGTGTTTTTAGTAGAGACGAGTTTCCACCATGTTAGCCAGGATGGTCTCTATCTCCTAACCTCGTTATCCACCTGACTCGGCCTCCCAAAGGGATTACAGGCATGAGCCACCGCAGCTGGCTGGCTTATTTTTAAATACAGCACAGAGGAAAGAGACAGAAATCCACTAAAATGTTCTGATGAAAAGACTTCCCTGACTGACAAGAATGAACTCCTCCTTTTCTCAAGAGAATCCCAGGGTGGTGCCAAATCCTATTATGAAAAAACTCTAAGGAGTTTCTGCAATACTTGACACTTTATCCTCTGTTATACAGAAAAGAACCCTGAATTCAGAGACAGTGTGGACTTGCTGAGTCTCCTGAGGTAATACATACGCAAAGCCAGAAGTACCACTCAGTCCAGCCACCCAAAATCAGGCCAGTGCTCTTTGCACTGTAAGATATTTGGAGGAGAGGATATTTTGTTTAAGGCAAAGCCTTAATCTTCCCATTTATAAGACTCATGCTCCTCATCTGCTTCAAAGGCCTCAATAATTCCCCATCACATATAGGATAAAGTCATAGCTCATTCATAGAATTTCCAAAGCTCTTTATGATCTTGTCCTTCTTATGTCTTCAGCTTCATTATTCATTACAACACCCCTGCCTGAAATATATGCTTTAGCAACACAGAACCTCTTGGAGTTTCCTGATCAAACCATGCCATTTCATGCCTCTGTAGCTTTGATCACACTCTTCCCTCTTCCTGCAGCACTTTTCCTTACCTCTCAGCCTGGTCATGCCAGCTCACCCTTCAAGTGCACTCCGGCTCCACAAGATCCCCATCCAACCCTCAAGCTGGGTCTGGAGTCCCTTCTATCTCCACATCACTCTGGGCTCAGCTCTGACATTGCACTTACAACATGGTGTTGGTATCATGGTATAATCTTGCTTCCCACTCCACCTCCACTAGGTATGAAGATATTTAAAGAAGAAATCAAGTTTTGTATATATCTCTTTCCTGCACCTGGCACAAGGATCTTCCATAAAAGGTGTGCAAATATTTGTTGAATGGAACCAAACCGAACCAAAAAGAACTACAAGGAGGCCATGAAGTCCAACAACATCCCCAAAGGCAGATGATGCCTACACTTTCTTCAGTCCCAGCTTTAAGACACCCCAGGGTCTTAAAGGGTTAAAATCAGACTTCAAAACTCCAGCCAGGGCTACTTGCTTCAGCACAAAATTTAAGAGAGCATAAAAAATTTAAAAAAATTTTTTTTAAAACCCACAGTAATCAACATAAATATTTTCACAAATCAAAATTAATTAATTGGCTGGGCACAGTGGCTCAAGCCTGTAATCCCAGCACTTTGGGAGGCCAAGGTGGGCGGATCACGAGGTCAGGAGATCGAGACCATCCTGGCTAACATGGTGAAACCCCGTCTCTACTAAAAAAATACAAAAAAAAAAACTAGCCGGGCGAGGTGGCGGGCGCCTGTAGTCCCAGCTACTCGGGAGGCTGAGGCAGGAGAATGGCGTGGACCCGGGAGGCGGAGCTTGCAGTGAGCTGCAGGCGGCCACTGCACTCCAGCCTGGGAGACAGAGTGAGACTCCGTCTCAAAAAAAAAAAAAAAATTAATTAATTAATTTAAAAAATCAACTAATTGGTTAACACCTATGTGCAGGTATTTGAGAAGCCCTCCCGAGGGTGAAGAATTTGGCATCTGACTGCGCTATGACTCCCGGAGGGGCAGCCGCAACATGCACGGGGAATACCAAGACCTGACCACCACGGGCAGTGTCACCCAGTGCTACCCAGACATGGGATCCCCACACCATGCCCCGCCCACTCCATCTAGCTTATGAAGCTGGAGGAGATTGTCCCCAGCAGGTGCCACCAGCCCATAATCAAGCAGTTCCACAACTCCAAGAACAAGTTCCCGCTGCTCCACTGGGTCCTGTGCTGTCAAGGCAAGCCATGCTTCACCACCAGGAGACCCAACACCTTCTTCTAGGTGCCAGGCCCTCTCACCCAGGTGTGCCCCAATTAAACTCAGGAACACCCTGGTTTAAAAAAAAAATCAATTAATTTATTTTTTCAATTAATTTTGATTTGTAAATTACTTGATGAACAAGGTATCAAAATTTAACTGTCTAACTCCTATTCTGAGAGGGAATCTCAAGATACTTGATGTCTACACTTACCCAGGAGAAAGACCTGGGTTTACTCTAACGTCTTCTCCACTGAGAGCTTTGGGCTAACAAGGGCAATCTTGGCATATGCTTTGCTAATGCCTCTCATCACATCTGCACTGAAGGTTAACAGATGATATCATTCTCTGAATCCCCAAGTCCACACCATCCCCTGGCAACTGTGACATATACGTGTACCAACGTGGGTGCCTCTCCCTCTGCAGTCTATGAAAAACTAGAAATAAGAATGGAGGAGCAGTCCAGAAACTGATCCATTATTTGGGGGAATTTTCAGGACTCTAGCCCTTTGAAAGTGAACCCAAAGATGGCTCACAGAAGAAAATGAAGTCTCTGGAACTGACTTCCTGATCAGCACTGACATTTCTGGATAGACCTGTAGCATACCTCATTTTTCTGTGAAGAGGAGAGGCATAAAAGCCTTTGGAAAGGCTGTACAAATGTTGAGTAACTTTTAAAATGCCAAAGTCATTAGTTGATTATAAATCATGAGCAAGGAAAAGAAAAATAAGAGAGAAAGTGGAGAGATAAGAAAAAGAGGAAGGAGAAAAGGGAAAGAGGAAAACTAATAAGGTAAAAACTGATTAAAGGGGAATAAAAGATCCAGATATAATTTATTTTCATTCAATGATTCATGCATTCATCTAGCAAACATTCATTGGGAATCATCTATATTCCAGCCACCAAGCTAGGCACTGAGGATAAAAATGGATGACGGCACAACCTTCCTTCATGAGGCTCCAGGCTGGCTGAAATGAACAGCTGGCAGACAGTACCCAAGACAGCAAGGGCTGTGACAAAGGTAAACTGGGAGAAGTAGAGAGAATCCTAGAAAGGAACATTGAACCCAGCCAGATCCATGAGTGATGACTCTTGAGAAACCTCTCAGAAGCTAAACAGGGTAGGTCTGGTTAGTACTTGGATGGGAGACTCTTGAGAAACCAAGTTGAAAGGGGAGAAAAGAGTGTTCCTGCTATGATGTAGCTCTGTGTGTTCTGAGGGCAGCATGACAGGGCATGGGAGGCTGGGGGATGAATCCATCTGCAGTATGACCAGATTGAATAAAGCAGACGGTGAAGGGAATTGCACATTATTTGTAGGCAAGAACTAGGTCTTATTCATCTCTCTATTCCCACCTCACAAGGTATAATAGATAATCCCTATATTTTATTAAATTTATTCCTCAAGCTAAGGAATGGCCTGCTTTATTACAATGCCCACTCATACTCCCTGAGAACAAGCGCTGTCTTCTATGGTTCTGTTGTATCTGCCAGCACAGATATAGGACTGGGCATATGGTATATATTAAATCAACATCCTTAAATTGGTTTGACCTGTGGCCAACATCGTATGCCGCACACACATCAGCCATTCCTCTGGAGTTGCCTCCGAGAAAACCCCATTTGCTTCAAATGCAGGATGGTAGAGTGCTGATGGAGGATGTGGGTCTCTCTCCCCTGCCCAGGGAATGGGCCATGGCTCATCTCCTCTAAGCTTTTTCTCTTTCATATGGTTGGTTTAGAGGAGAATATGAACCCAGATCAGCAATAGAAAACCTGAGAGGACATCTGCAGGATTTTGGAAAAAGATATTCTCCAGAAGTTAAAAAATAATTTAAAACAAAACAAAAATATTTCCTGTGTTTGGATATTGTCATATGAAGACACAATTTTGGGTCCTCAGTGACTGGTAAGCCACCGGATGAACTCTATGGACCCCCCCACCTGTGAACTTTCAAATAAGTGAAATAATGAATATCTTCACTTATAAAAGTCACTTTCAGTAAATTCAGATGTGACAGAGAAAAGAAAATTTTGCACCTCCATGTGCTCTCTTCCCAAGTACTGTGGTCTTAAAACATAGGAAAGAAATTGATTTCACAAACAAACCAGAGAGACAGCTCACCAGGAGAATCCTGCCGTCCCATAGAAACTAAGAGACAGTGCCGTCCTACAGACATTCAGCTCATAATGCCCTCACTCAGCGCTGAGCCAGAATAGAGCAGTATAAATGGTTTTACTTTAAGTAAAAATTATGGTGATCAGTGGAGAAAAACAATCTCAATTGTCATTAATTTATGTACTGCTACATTTACCAATAAATATTTTACACTATTTAGAAGAATAACACAAAGCCGTTATCTCACCCACAGTAATAATAAATGAGCAGTTAAAGAAGGCAGGATGTGATGTACCTTGATTTTCCTTTAATGATCCTTTGAAATGAAACATTGAGTAATCCCCTGTTGTTGAAGACATTTCTATTAAAAAAAAAAATGTATCTACCAAGCTTGCAAGGAGACGCAG